ACATACATACATACATACAAAACATATACATACAAACATACAAACATACAGACATACATTCATACGTCATACAACATACTGACTTTGCCTACATGCGCACATATTGACATGCATACGTACGTATATACATACACATACCTTGCATGCCAGGCACACCGCAACATGTAACATGGCATAACAAATTGACCATGCCATGCCATGCCATACCAGACCGGTCCCGACCATACACGCATCACCTTCAATACAGCACCTTGCAGTGCCTCTTCCTTGTGCGTCGCCATGGCGTCTTTGTTGCAGTTTCGGGTGGCATTGCTTAGCAGCTCGCCACGGCATGTTGGCAAAATCATGTTGTTTCAGGCTTCAGATGGATCTGGCCCGAAAGGACTTTCAAAGAACTGTTAGCGGAACTCGCGTGCCTTTGCCGTCAATGATCCAACTTTGGAAATCCCACTCAGCAAATCTTCGAAAGGGAGCACAGATGGGATATGCTCACGAGGAGCTCCGAATTTTGCTGTATTTGAGGCTTCACACTGCTTTTTTTGGCAGCATTGGTGTGCAGCATGTCACGGGTTTGCCCGCGAGGCCCCTGAGCGCAGGGCAGCATCACGCACTGTAGCCTCGCCTGAACATGATACATGACGTGCTTCTGGAGGCCATGCGTGCAGGACACTTGTGCCAGCATGCCGAAAGCGGTGTGAGTTTGCTGGATGTTGGACTTAGGTGGCAGAAGCATAGCGCTCGAGTTCGCGTCGACACTTGTGCAAATCAAAGTACTGGCCGCTAAATACGCAGCTTGCTGTGCTACCAGAATCAGGACCTGTTCCGTGTTCCCTTTAGGCTGTTCATCTGAACTCTCTCGCGTGGAGCCTGTGCGCCTTCTGCCAAGGACCGCCTCCTTGGTGGAGGTGCGCCGCGAGATTGAGCGCCGCCTGCATGCGGGAAGCGCCCCTCGGCTCGCTTGTAGCAGCACATCTCATCTCGTCCCCAGTCGAAGCCGAAGCCAGAGCAGTTGCCGGTGACCTCCACGGAAGCTTGTGGTGCATATGTCTTCAGGTGAGCCTGTTCGCTGCAGACGGACGTCACCTAGCAGGTGCCGGCAGTCTAGAGCGACTGGCTTGGCAGTACAGTTTAAGCTCAGAAGATCTCAGAAGTTTCAGGGAAGAGAGAAGAAGGGCTGGGCCTGCATGAGCCGCGACAGTGAGGAATGCGGGTGTCACAGATGGCAACTGCACTCTCACAGCCACCATCCATCCCGCGAGGCGCCGACTCTACAGCTCTTGAGCCATCCACTGCCGTGTGTTTGTCTGTTTGTCGTCTCCAGGATCATTGGCCATCGAGAGACTCCAGCCTTCGCGCTGCTTCAAGCGGCTGCTAGACTTGAATCACGCCTCCGTAGTTGCTTCCAGATTGGGGATTCATTGAAGATACACTCCAGCTGCAGCGTAATAAGCAACTATAATTTCCCGACCGTGACAATGATGCCAGCAACTGAGGATGGTTCTGTGGTCACCTGGGGAAGCCGCGACTATGGAGGGGATTCGAGCACCTTGACATTCCAATGTTGGCATCAAGATCTGATCGTCCCGATCATCCAGATACCACTCACTGTTTACCAACTGGTTCTGCCAAAGCTAGTCCGGTTGCTGCAGGCGCGGTGCAGCAGCAGCTGACGCAAGTCTCGCAGATCCGATCCTCGCATGGCGCCTTCGCGGCCATTTGCGGAAAGGGCCGCGTAGTGCCTCTCGGCGATGAACAACTGGACTGCAGCAAATGGGGATCGGCGGGCGTTCATGGCTTTGCCCATGTCGGTGAACGTCGCATGCCAGTTGCAAAAGAGTCGAACATCTTGGGACGTTGCAATGCTGAGGACATGGGGCGCTTCGCATTTGGGGGGCCAATCTTCTTCAGTTCAACACCTCCTGCAGGGAGTCAGGCGCCAGAGGATTACTGTGGGGCGTATTCTGAGCCCTAATCCGGCACGTCTACGCGCATGTGCTGTCAAAGTCTTGGAGTGCGCACTTGCTGTAAAGTCCGAAGCATCAACCGAATCCTGTCCACATCGTTCATCCTTGCCGAGTGGAAGATCTCAGTGGCAGACACACCCTCAACCAGCCAAACTCCTTGGCATGCAAAGGCACCTGGAGGCCTCCCACGGGGCGTTCGCGGCGATTCTCGACAACGGTGGGGTAGCTGCTCGGGTGGAAATCTGCTTTGTGATTCTCCATGTAGATTTGGACCCTCCCGGGCGTCATGGACATCTTGAAGACATCACCGTCCCGCCTCAGACTTCCCTGTACTATCAGCCGAATGTCCTAAAGCAGCGGGGCCTCAAGGTGACCTGGGGAGACAGCGATGTTGGCGGGGACAGCAGTCATGTACAAGATCAGCTCTTTGAGGTACCCTGCGCTGAGATTCGGCTTTCCTGTGTCAAACTTGCGGGTATGGCAGTGCCGACTGCTTGTTGCTGGCATTTACATCAGACACTTGTTTTAGTCTTCGGACGGGGTGCCAGCCAACTCCGTATCGCGGTCTGACTTTGCCCTCCTTGGGTGATTTTGAGGCCAATCCGTGGGTGCCGCTTCTGCCGGATTGAATTGAGCAAACACGGCGTAGCAACTTCTCTAGCGTCGACTTGAAGAACATCGATGCTGAAAGCAACAACTGTTCGTGAACACAGGGAACCCCGCACGTTGGACGGTCGAGCACATGCGACGATATACTGGACAGCACCTGAAGCTGTTGTTGAACTAATCCCATGCGCTCATGGGGTGGAGCTTGCGGCCCGATGACTCAGACATACTCAGACTTAGCCCTGCATGCTAGTTTTCCCAGACTGGTCCCCTGTATATGTAGCAAGCAACCGCAGCAAATTGGATTGAAATTTGATAGTGGTTCATAGTTGAGCACTTCCAAAGCATCCGTAAACATCAGTATATCGCGAGCTTGTCCGCCAGCTGAGTGTGTGAATGACATAGACACACATAGACGTAGTCACCAGCCATAAGGCCCTTCTTGCTAGTCATCCTGCCATCACGACCGGTGACGTTGGACAAGCTAAAGTATAGGCAGATGGAGAACAGAAAAGATGATTCTGTGAGAGGCCAGTCTACTTTTTCGCAGCAAGACGCGCGTGTGCGAAGATGCCATAAGCATGTGCTACATGCGTGCCGAAGCGGAGAGAATGTGTTGCGCAGACTGATAACGTAGGTACAGCACAAGGTTGCGCACGAATTTGCTGAGGCTGGGCGAGAGTCTGAACAAAAACCGGCTTGACCGGAACCACAAGGTTTCGGGGGACATGCGGCGACGAACAAGCCTCAATACTGCGAAGGCAGCGCGGGCAAGCATCATCGGGATTGCACACAGAGAGGAAAGACGGAGGAAGCTAATGTGCACAGCACCATCCGGAGAACATGTGGCCGAAGAAGCACCCCGCAGCACATTGGGATGCTCATTCGGACAAGGGCAGAAACAAAAAAAGGACATTCGTCAGAAAGGGAAGCCTCCCGGTTCGTAGTAAGTCCAGTAATGGATTTGTTTTGTGCATGTTCAGAGAGACGTGAGGATCCACGCGCTGAGAAACCTTTCCTGTCTGACCGAGACAACGTAACAACCTTTCTCAGCTTTGCTTTATTCAGAAATTCAAGTCTTGGCGAGGAGCCATGGCGCGTTTGGGACATGATGCCATCTTGTTCGAGATTCGTCGGAGAAAGATTTTAGGCTGTCGTTGGGATGATCGAGTGTGTTCATTGGTTTGCGTATAGCGCCAGGTTCTAAAAGCCGGCTTCCTATCATTCCACAACCGGAAATCCTGAGATAAGCAGCCTTGCAGAAGGTCACCTGCATCGCCGCCACTTTCGGCGCCTTCGCTGCGCTTCGCATGGATGGCCACGTCGTTACTTGGGGTGCCACTGGGCACGTCTGAGTCCTCTTCTCTGGGCACTGAAGTTGAGACGCTGTTGAGTGGGGCCTTGGAGTTGCAGAGTCTGGGTGGAATAGACAGGCTATGACAGACTCTCCAGGATCCTGCTTCACTTGAAGTCCCCTGCACCAAACCAAGGATCCGTTCTATAGCAGCGACAGCAGCATGGTGCAAGACAAGCTTGTGAACGTTTGCCAGATCAAAGCATCTGGCAGAAGCTTCGCAGCAGTGCTGGGAGACGGAAGTGTCGTCGCCTGGGACAGAAGGAAGCTGCAAAGTTGTGGTGGGGACTGCCGTGATGTCGAGGACATGCTGAAGGGCGTGCACTTCATAGCTGCGACAGACCAAGCCTTTGCAGCCCTGCGTTGCGATGCCCGCGTCGTGACGTGGGGAAACAAGAGGTGCGGCATATAGTTCTCGTAGGCATGGATTCGTTGTGGAAGCCCTGGTCCTGGGCAGGTATGGAGCAGAGAGCCGCCTCTTCGAAAATCGTTTGCAAGATGTGCAGCACATCCTTGGCTCGGATCGCGCATTCGCCGCACTCCTCAAGAACGGCCGCGTGCTGGCATGGGGCGATCCCAAATACGGCGGTGACACTCGTTTCGTCCGAGACGAACTCCAGGACTGCACCTGCCACAATGACTGCTTAATTTGCGCGAGCATCAACTCCGGCCTCTAGCGAGCGTACGCGAATGCATGCTGGCCTTCAAGCCACGCCCCATCACCATATGTACAGTAGTTACATTAGTACGGTAGCTAAGCCGTCAGTCGCATGAAGCTTTGCAGAGAGGGATCGCCATCTTCCCTCTGAGTCTGAGTCGCAACACTCTCTTAGGACGTGGTGCAGATTGCCAGCTCCAGCGCAGCCTTTGCAGCGGTCCGCGGTGATGGCACAGTGGTGACTTGGGGCGACCCGGAAGCTGGAGGCGACAGTCTACCCGTGCAAGCGAAGTTGAGGCAGGTTCAACACGTCACAGGCCGGGGTGAGCGGGGGAGGGGGGGGGGGGAGGGTCCTCCGCCTAAACGAATGAAGCCATCAGGTTCCTTCCAGGCCTTCGCAGCGATGCTTGTGGATGGGCAGGTGGTGACCTGGGGAAGCGCCGAGTCTGGTGGGGACTGCGGTGACCTGCAGCTGCTCTCTGCGCATGGGCAAAACCGGACATGACGTGAGACTGCTGAGTCACTGCTGAAACTGCGACTATTCTGTGGTTGCAGCGCTAACCCAGGAAGAGCTCTGATTTCCCTGAACCTTGCATTGCATGTCTGCCTGAGTGTCTCACTGCTTTCCAAGGCCAGCGCGTCCGACCAGCCCCTTGATGCAGGCAGTCGTCGAGCCTTCATCTGGCAAAGCTTGCACACGTGTGAGGTGTTGTAGATGCTGATCTTTCGTCGTGCCGAGGAGATTTGACAAATGATGTAGCTAATCTCTTAATGTTTATACATGCCGACACGAGGATCTGTGAAAAGTTGCTGCAGCAGCTCATCTGCAGGCTCCGAGTACGCTGAAGGTGGCCGCCACCTCATATATGAGATTCTATAGCCTATAGTATTCAAATGTCGCGCAATCAGCACCGTGTTTTGGAATGGGGCATTCACAGTGTCGAAAGCGTCCCACCGTCTGTGATAGCTTGATCGGCAGATTCACTACGAAGCTTTCATAGATTTGGCCTGGCAAGTTGGTAGCAGGGTGCTTCGTAGCTTCAAGATCGGTTTCAGAAGGCTCTCTGGGGAATTACGACCGCCTCGGCACCGTCCTAGGTCCCGTTGGAGCATCGCGTGCCGTCGTTCAAGCGCGGGCCGCGGAAGGGCAAGTCTTAGAAGTCTTTTGCTGTATGAAGCCCCAAGACACTTTTTACGAAGTCCAATTCGGCACCGGCTCCAAATGGCCAGGTCCGGAATTTTCTCTGCGCCTTTGGTGTCCCTGCAGAAGGCTCTCGGAGTGCGTGGGCGTGGATGGGCTTTCGTAAAAGAAGTTGCTGAGTGAAATGGGGCCTCTCAGCGCTGCTTGCGCTTGCCTGCAGCTATTGAGCAGGACATCGAGCGGCACTATGGCCAGCAGGCCAGCACGCGCACGATTGAATTTTCCCGCGCATATGTGATCATATGCAAGCCACCGAATGAGATTGTGCTGCACCTGCCTGCACCTGCAGGACGGCCTGCGAGGATGTCGCCCGCCGTCACGCCCACAGTCTCGCCCGCAATCGGCGAATGCGCGTCGTGCCGCGCTTGGACCAAATATGCACTGCTTCAAAGCTGGCATCTCCAGTTTGCATCATATTTACATCAGCAGCCACTACCCTGGGTTGTTGCCCAAGTTCTTCTTACAGCAGAGGGCAGGTTTCGACTGTTTGGATCGAATCGGGTCGTCCCTTCCATTGATCATTTTGAAGAGATAAGGATAGAAGGTTTTGCGGTAAGTGTAGCAAGTTGTGGTTCCCAGGTCCGTGCGAATTCAGCGAGACGGGAGGCCGACCCGGGAAGTGCGAGGATGTTGGTCCAAAGAAGAGAGGTCCATTTCGACTGCAAATCGGTTTAAGCCCTATACAGTAGCCTATACACACTGCATTGTTAAGGCTTCCAGAGCTTCCAATGGAAACTGCTGGGATGCTGGAAGCGGTGCTGAGGTACGGGCCAAGCAAAAGAGTGCACCTTTGAGGTGGGGCGCGCATCTGCGTGACGGGTGCAGTTCGCACCCTGAACAAGAGCTAGAGTCTGCCGTTTGCGGCTTGCAGTATGTTGATGGCACGCAGGCCTGCAATCATAGGAAACGCCTCGTTTTGTGATTCGATTCCGTTCCTCGTCGGACAGGCCCACTGCTCCGAAGAGGACATAGGCAGGATCTCTCAAAACCATGTTTGCTTGGGGATTGTTTGAGACTGGTGTGACATGCGCCACTGGTGAACTTTAGAAATCAACATGTTCAAGGTCCTCTCAACATCAGCCACTTGAAGCTGCCCTGTCCGTCGGCATTTGCTTGAGTTTGGCTAAGCACTTATCATTGCCGCCCGCAAGCGATGTGTGCGTGGTCCCGAAAACTCGCTGCTGGGATAGGATTTGGCCAGTTCTTCCCTTCGACGAGAGAGGTGACCTCCCCAGCTTGCTAGTGGATATCTGGTTCTAGGCTGCTTCAACCTTACCTGAGTGCTGCCTGGGCTGCTGAGATGCATTGCTAGGTATCTAACGGCCGAGTTTCATGCGGCCAGTTCTCTAGTGACAGTCTGCCCGCTGAGCACTCAAAGCTGTATCTCGCACCCTGCACACTGCCCAGACAAAATCTCCCAGCAGTGTCGACAACATTTTCACAACGGCACCTTTCGATCCAGGTCTGACCAACAAGTTGCTCCCGATTTTCTGAAGTCATCCCAGGCCTGGCGTGCTTGACGGCACAGAGGCTGCACCATGCTCGGCGGCTCGGCGGCGCATCAGTACCTTGGAGGGCCGACTCAAAGGTTCGCCCTTTGGATGTTGTGACATAGATATTGCTTCTTGCGTTGCCGGAGTCGACGTGGAGGGCCCTCGCCAGGGTCTGACGGAATGCGCCAAATTACTCACCGGACAGATGGCGAGTTGAATCGCTTGTCACAGTGCCTGGATACATTGAGACTTGTGGATTTGGATTGAAGATAAGTGTGGGTCATTCATGGGAAGCACAGGCCCGTAAGAAAACCGCATCCTTGCTCCGTCTCTCACCATGCCATCACGCTTGCCGCTTGCGTGCAGCGCACTCTGCCAGGAGCTCTGAGCAGCTCTGAGCGCAGCATGGCCGAAGCCAGGGCCGGAGGAATGCGAAAGAACAGAGCCTTCTTTCTCTTACTCATATTGTATAAAGATGTATAAAGCATAGGACAGCCCCTGCTGACCAAGACCGCCATTGGCACCTCTTCGGGAAAGAGTTTCACGCTGATCGTTCAAGCGTGGCAGTCCGTTAGCCATTGGCCCACTTCATGAATTGTGCTATCGGCTGCCATCAATGGCGCATCGTGTGTTCTCGCCATGCCCCTCCATGTTGTAGCAGAATAGTAAGAATTCAGATACTCGACAGTAAATGAAGCCTAAGGTTCAATGCCAGCCAGATCAGTTTCCGGACGCTGCCGAAGCGGGCGCGTCGTTCACAGAGAAGCTTCCCGACTTGAAGACAGCACCCGCCTGCTTGCCCCAGCACTGTCCCTGGGTTTCAATCGCAGTATCCTGGAGCCAGATCCCCAAAGGCTCCGCCTCCTTCCAAGTCTGGAGCACTTGATCTGCAGACTTTCGAACCCCCCGGTCCCTGTCCACGTAGATGCCTTGTCGTGCCATCTGGTATTGTGTTCTTCGCCGGCAGGAGGTGCCGACGAGCTAGCGAATATGTCACGGAATCCGCCTCGTCTGTCACAGGAAGGCCAGCTGAGGAAAAGCATGTCCAAAGAACCGAAAGAAGCTTAACATGGATCTTCTGACATCTCAATGTCGCCGGCATACAAGCAGAGGGATTGCGTGTTTTTGTTTTCCTTCGTTTTCATCTCCTCGCCACGTCTGCGTGCAAGGACTATGTATCAACAGGCACGCTGAATGTCGCAGCTTCTCTAAGTTAGTTTCGCCTGAGAGATCCTCAGCTTCTGTCCCATGAGCGGCCTTCCTCTTGCGAATCCTAAGATCCTTCCCTCAAGGATCCTCAAGCAGGTATAAAGGCACCTCCAAGACCTTTGGAGTTCTCCATTTTGATACACCCCCACCCCTCCCCCCCCCCACCCCCGCCGCCCCAACCGTTTGCAAATCGCCCGGCAATTGCACGCGCGGTTTCTGATTCGTCACGAAGAAGGCCGAGCAGATGGTGTCCAGAGGGCCGAGAGGGCAAAACGACCCTGCAGGCCATGCCCGGAAAAAGCTACGCCAATCTCTCTGATTTGCATGCAGGGTCGGTGAATCGTTTGGTCAGAACTCTCATCAGCCTGCAAAGACGAGTTCCAATTGTCCTAAGACTCTCATGGGGTCGTTCACGCCAGCCCAGCCAGTTTGTAAGCCCTTATAGCCATCTCTAGCTACTTTAGGTTGCACAGCTCAGCCACGGGCTAGTTGACACGGTCTCACCGGAGACTTCATTTGAGTGCTCTACTCGTGGCTTGTTCAGGTTCAGGCTCATGGAAGGCCGTGGTATTCGTCTCTGGTTCCCACTTGCGCGTTGCAGGACGACGTCACATCAAAGCTTGGCGACATCATTAAGGTGAATAACATGCTGAAAACGCAGGCCTGCTTGTTGTTTGCAGGTTGCGGACTATGGTCCAGTTGCCGAGCTCTCCGAACTCTGTCTCTGTACAGTTCCTGGGATAAGGTTGAAAATGGAGCCGGCGAGCATATCATCTATGACTTTGTCAAGCTTCTCCAGGCACCTGCTGGACCTCAGAACTTCATTGATCCATAGTTCTCTAGCACACTGAGCACGCATGTGCCGCAGTATCACATCTTCACGCTCTGCGACAACACCATCGTCGGAATTCCGCAGGCCGGCCCTCCGAGGTAGTTCGAGCGGGCCATTCTACAGACAAGCAAAATCGTCAATATAGTCGGATTGATACACGCTTGCTCCATCTCTCTGTCACTCTAACTCTCTCTCTCGCTCTCTCTCTATCTCTCTCCCTATTTCTCGCTTTCTGGGTCTCCCTCACTCTCTCTCTCTGTGTCACTCTCCCTGTCCCTGTCTCTCTCTCTCTCTCTCTCTCTCTCTCTCTCTCTCTCTCTTTCTGAAGGCCTGTACCAAGTCCAAGCGGCCACTGAAATCCATCCGGGAGCGGCTCAAGTCCAAGGAGGGCCGGCTGCGAGGCCGAGCTGAGAGCACAAAGGGCATTGTTCAGTGCACTCGCTCTGCCTTCGCAGGCACTCTGATGGGCAAGCGAGTGCCTGGGCATGCAAAAAAAGGAGGGGCCTACATACAGACGTGTGTGATAATCGGAGTGGACGGCATGGCCACAGCAGCTGACCGAAGGGGCACAGTGAGCCTTAGCTTGTGCCGAAATTCTTGATCGTAGGTGGACTTCTGCGCTCGGAGCGTCATCGGCGGTGACCCCAACCTGGACACTGAGCAGGTCGGCGTCCCGAGGCACGAAAGGTTCCTCATTGGCAGATTTCAGCCGTCTGTGGACTCGAGTATAGCTGGAGTGGAGCTGCATGTTTTCATATGAAACGAGTGAT